CACAAAATTATGCAATGTTAAGCCTCAATTTATTGTAACGGAGAATAGAGTGAGGGATTCTTATCTAAATCGGTGTTTCGAGATATCGCACTGTCTACTACGCCTCCTAACGGATACTAGATTTTTCTTGAATTTCTCTTGCATAATCCAAAACACTCGTCACGTACCTAAAAATACTCCAAAAATCCAACGTCGGTGCTTAAAACTCTTTTCGGCCAATTTTAGGGTTCGGCACAGCATCGCCACTGTTCTCCAGGCAGCCTGTCCAGTTTTGGTCGGTTTTAGCCAGTTTTACACGTACCCCCATAGAAAAACACGTTAGGGGGCCTTGGTTTGCTAGAAAATCACCAAAAACACCGAACCTATCGACTGAGCGTCACTAGGCGCGCCAGCTCTGTCGATCCTTCTTCGCAGCTGGGGTTCCTTCTTCGATTAACCTGTACAGAAAAAGATGGTGAGCACAATAATTAAAAAATTATGTGAAACAGAAAACAGAAAGGAGCTCATCGGAGAGATTTTTCGGTTTTGGCCAAACCGGCTCCGCCGGGTTTTAACAACAGTTTTCGGCTCACCCGTCGTTTCTCTTGCTCTAATTTGGCCACAGGGATACTCGAAATCAAATTTCGAGTGGGTATGAGAAATTTTTACTTTTTTTGGTAGCTGACAGTGTCTTCGATGCGGTGGTGATTGACGGCTAGGGTTTGGACTCCCATGCGACGCGAAATAGTTATATCTATCCTACGTCGATCTAGGCCATTCATCACGATTGATTTCGTCCGGCCGATCGCACCTAAGGAAGAAATGAATCTGGACCATCATCGCGATTGATCTCGGCTGTCCAATTGCACCTAAGGGAGAAACGAATCTGAACTGTCCACGCTCGCGGGATCGATCCTGGACAGTCCGGAGTTAAAAGGGGTAAACATTTAAGTTCAGGGAGTATTTTTAAAAAAAAATTTTGAAACAGAGGATCAAAGTGCAAATAAAAAAAGTTCAGTCACGTAGGACTGCCTTGTCAGCAGTCCCGATGAACTGGAGTACATCGCGTGGCAAGGCACGCTGATGTTAGTGCCACGTGAGAGGCGACGCAGGCGATTTGCATATTCCACGATCGGATGGCCCTAGATCGATCTCGTACGCGTGGACAGTCTGGATTTATTTCTCCCTTAGGCACGATCGGACGGTCGATATCAATCGTGATGGACAGTCCAAATTTATTTCTCCATTAGGCGCGATCGGACAGACGAGATCAATCGTGATGAACGGTCCAGATCAACGTAAAATGGGTGTAAATATTTCGTGTCACATGGGAGTCGAAACCCTAGCAGCTAGCCCCTGCCGGAAATGAAGGACCAGGCACTAGAGAAGGAGGCCGACCGTCGACCGCCGACTGCCGTCACTCCGGAGCCACCGTCGGCCACCAAAAAAGTGAAAATTCCTCTTACCCACTTGAAATTCAATTTTGAGCATCCCTATGGCCATATCAGAGCAAGAGGGACGACGGGTGAGCAAAAAATTACAGGCAAAGCATGGCGGAGGCCCCGCGGTAAAACTGAAAATTTATAAAAATTAGAAAAATAACTAACGGAGCTTTTAATTTGATGTAAATTCATTTAATATAAAGAAAGTCGTTTATTCCGTACTTACGTAACAAGTTTTTTCTAAAAATAACTTATAAAGACTCATATTCATACCATTTTTTATTTTCACACATAAGATAATAAGAAACGATAACTTTCCCTTCTTACCTGCTTACTAGTACTCCTAGGGTTTCATAGGAATGTCTTCTTTACTCCTGAACCTAATATCCAATTAAACAATTAACTGACCGTCTCCATACCTCGTCCAGTAATGGGCTCCAAATATTCCATCGCCTCAATACCCTATCGAGTATGAAGGCGAACCATGTCTCTCAAACCTTTCTGTTAAGGGACTTCCCAACACCATTCGACTAAGGTAACGTATACGGTAGGGTTCCTTATGTACTAGGTCCATCCGCCCTTTCCTTGGGTACTCAGTAAGTCTTTAACATAGAGATTTCCATTAACAAAATAACTAATGATTGAAACCACTATCTTATATTACATTTATAAATCAATTAAACTACATTCATCCTAATAGTATATAGCTGGATAAACCAAATAAATCGATAAGGTTATAGAAAATATAAATTTAGAACATGCACCATATAATAACAAACAAATAGAGCAGTATAAGAAAATAAATAGAAAATCAGAACAATCGTGAACTAACCCGTTCCGGCTCCACAAGTAACCTGTAATTATTTTTAGGATTTTCTAATGTTTTCATAAAAATACACAATTATGCAACATTAAGCCTCAATTTACCGTAACGGGAAATAAGGTGAGGGATCCTTATCTAGAATGATCTTTCGAGACATCACTCTGTTTACTACGCCTCCTTACGGGTACTGATTTTTTTTGAATTTTTCCTACGGAATCCAAAATACTAGTCATGTATCTAAAAATATCCCAAAAATTTAAAATCGGTCGATTTTAGGATTCTGGCACAATTGCGCTATCGTGCTCTGACGCCAACTCCACCACCCACAGTAGTAGTTTACCTCGACCTATCTGGTTTTTACCGGTTTTAGCAAATTTTGGCCGTTTTTAGCTAGTTTTGGCCGGTTTTAGCTAGTTTTGGCCGGTTTTAAACGTACCCTTGCAGAAAAACATATTAGGGGGCCTTGGTTGGCCGAAAAATCACAAAAACACTGAACCTACAAACAAGGGGTCATCGGGTGCGGTGGCTCCACCGGTCCTTCTTTGCAGCTGGGGTTCCTTCTTTGGCTAATTTGTACATAAAAGGACGATGAGCACAATAATCTAAAAATCGCGTGAAACAGGAAACGAGAAGGAGCTCAATTTTGGCCGCGACGGCTCCGCCGATCTTTGCCCGCAACTTTTGGCTCACCCGCCGTCCCTCTTGCTCCGATTTTTCCACATGAATGCTCGATTCCGAGCGGGTATGGAAAATTTTTACCTTTTTTGGCAGCCGGTGGTGGCTCTAGTGCGGCGACAGTTGACGGTCGGCCACCTTCTCCAGTGCCTAGTTCTTCTTCTCCAGCAGGGCCTGGAGGCTAGGGTTTGGGCTCCCATGACACGTGAAGTATTTATATTCATCTCGCGTCGATCTGGGTCGTTCATCACGATTGATCTCGTCCATCTGATTGTGCATAAGAGAGAAATAAATCTGGATCATTTAACGCAATTGATCTCGACCGTCCGATTGCGCCTAAGGGAAAAACGTATCTGGGCCGTCCACGCATATGGGATCGATCTTAGGCCGTCCAATCGCGGGGCACGTAGATTGTTCGCGTAGCCTCCTGCATGGCACCGACATCAGTGTGACTTGCCACGCGACGTGCTCCAGTTTATCGAGGCTGCTGACTGGGCAATCCTACGTGGCTGAACTTTTTCTATTTGCACTTTGACCCTTTATTTCTAATTTTTCTTTCAAAAATAACTCCCAAACCCAAATCTTTACCATTTTTTTCAAAATTATTTTCGATTACATTCGTAACCTATTTTTTTCAATAATTTAACAAAACTAAGTTAAACCAATTTATAAATAATTTTTTTTTTTTATTTTTAAATTATCAAAATTGATCCCAGACCAACTTCCGGGTCCTGGTATTACAGTCTCATCGAGGCTTGTCTACGACATTTATCTTTAACTTGAATAAAAAAGAAACTTCTGATATTTGGAATTACTAGCTGGGACACACCTAATTGTCCAAGTTAGATTTTCTCCTACGTACTTTAAAAGGTAGGAAATATGGACCTTATCATGCATGTTCATGCCTAAAATGCATAGACCTTTATTTTTTATTAGTCATTACAAATTCTAACATTATTTTACATGATACATTGTGATACCTAGGGATCTTATAATGCGATTTTATATGATGGACATAATTATTTTCTTTCTATTATGGATGATTTTAATATATGTGTATGGGTATATCAGTTTAGATCAAAATCAGAAACATGTCACATCTGGAGAGTTTCTGCACTCTTCTTTCTACCTAGTTTAACACCAAGGTCAAGATTATAGGAAGTGATAATAAGAGAGAATTTGAAATTGTTAATAGTAGTTTTTTTTTTAATTTCTGCAATCAAGACCAAATAGAGTTTGTAATAGAGTTTAGAGATTTCTTAACTTGAATCTTAGTTTTTTTTTATTGATGTATTATTACAGTCCCACATATACAAGTTTTTCAAGACATAAATGGAAATAGATAACTAACTACGGAAGACGTAATTTACCCTTATATACTGATTTCCTTCTTCTTTAAAACCCTAATTTATTTTTTCTTTAATACTTTAATTTATTTTCTTCTTAGTACCTTGATTTACTTTTATTTTAATGTCCTGATTTACTTTATCTTTAATACATTAATTTATTCTATTTTTTAATATCAATGAATGATTTTTACGTGAAGAAATGAATTATTCATAAGAAAAGTTGTGTGAAAACATCATAGCAAAATAGAAGTGGAGAAAATGCACCGACAAATACTAAATATTGCTAGAGCACTTAAATTCTAAAGTAGCCTTGAGCTAAAGTATTCGACTGACTTTATCCTTATAGCAGTTTACCTTATCAATAAAATACTCTTCTCTGTAATTAATCATAAGATTCCCTTTGAAAAACTTTTTCAAAGACAACTAAACTAACTAACTAGACAACTAAGCTTAACCCTAGAAAAAGAAAATGTGTATTTTTGGATTACCCATTTGGGATTAAAAGTTATAAGCTACTATGTATAGATATAAACAAAGTCTCTACCTCCAAAAATATGATATGTCATGATAACATCTTCCCTTACAAGATTCAGACAAATAGTGCATATCGTAGCCATTTATTAGTAGCTTGTGACAAATATGCCGCATATTTTTTATAATTTTTTTATTACAAAAAATCTACGTACAACTTAAAAAAAGAATACAAGTGTAACTTATTTCTCTATTATCAAGTTAGAAAAAGTTCACTGGATATTTGTGCTCTTTGTTTGGGAAAAAAAGCCCCCAATTCTTTTCAACTTCAGGCTCTTTTCCTCTTTCATTAAACATGGCGAACAAGTAAGTCTCTGTAGGCTTTCCCGGCTTCTTAGGCGTCCCTTGTTTCACATGCTGAATTAGATTGTTATTGTAAGTTTGTGCATTCTCAAAACTTGCTCCTATATCACCAGCTGTTGGCCAGCCAGATTCTGTCACGACAACCTCTAGAGATCCACCACCGACCTTCTCCAATGCTGAGTGGACAGCTTCGACCATAGCGTCAAATAAGTTATTGTACTGTAATGGTGGGTCAGGATTAATCGGGGCTGATGGTTTAAGTAGAGCATAATCAAGACTGATAACATCAGCATTATACTTATAACTAAAGTAAGGGTAGACATTAACTAAAAATGGAGCATTATTCTCGTTCAATATATTAATTCTGAGAAAAAATGGTGAAATTTTAGGTTCTGTGGTATTTTTGAAAGAAAAATCAGAAAACAGGAGGTAAAACGTAATTTTAGAAAGTTTTGCCACATCATACGTTGGCCGGGTCAACAGCTCGGATTAAGTAGGACACACCAAGTGGCAGAGAAGTTGATGCAGGAGGCCACGTGGGCGATCCGCGTGCCCGCGATCGAACGGCTAAGGTCTGTTCCCGCGCGCACGGACGTCCTGGATGCGCTCCCTCCCAAATGCGATTGAACGGTTAGATTTAAACGTGATCGGACGATCCAGATTAGATCGCGATGAACGGTCTAGATTATATCGCGATGAATAGTTCAGATTTACTTCGTATTTAATCGCGATCGAATGGTCCAGATCAAACATGATGGACGGTCCAGATCAAAAGCGGATGGATATAAATAACCCTCATCCGCACCAAACTCTAACCCTTGTCGCTAGAACTCATCGCTGGAGAAGAGGACCTAGCTGTCAGGGCGCCGACCCCTGTGACCCGCCGCTGCACCGGAACCCTTTCTGACTTCCCAAAAAGGTAAAAACTTTTCCTTTTGCACGAAATTTAATTTTAAGCTCACCCGTAGCCAAATCAGAGTGAAAAGACTAGCCAATTCGCTGAAAACACTGGTGAAGCCCGGCGGCATTGTCGCGGAAAATTTAACAAAACGCCTCCGATGAGGCCCTTCCCGATTCTTGTTTCACGTGATTTTTCTACCGTTATGATTACTGTTTTCTTCTCTACAGGTTGACTAAAGTGAAACAACCAATCGCAACATGAGTCGTAGGAGCCGCCGCACCGGAGAGCCCCGCTGCCGGTGAGTTTCAATTTTTTATATTTTTTCAGCCAACCAAGACTCTTTAACATGTATGTTTGCAAAAATCGATGCAAAATCGGTCGACCCGAGAAATGATTTTATGATTGATAAATGAATTTATTAAATTTAATGCTCCATTAGTGGTTTTCGATTTTATACCAACCTTTATTTCTATGCGGGTGATATAGTGTGATATCCTTACTGGGCTAGTGTAGTTTATCCTTTAGTTAACCATTTCAGATCAAGAGGACCAGGTTCCAGAGCCCGATCCGTAAGAAGATTGCGAGTAGATGCTATATAATTTTTATTTTCTATTTGTTTCCTTATTTTTCATGTTTCTTTCAAAAAATTAATTCCGTAATATTGTTTATAACTTTTAAGTTATTGTGTAAGGAATGTAAACTTTAACCTTTTACTTCGCTTCCGCAGTTAAGTTATTATATATTTCCTTTTGGATTTCCAGGGTCGTTACAAGTTAACTTTAAAATAATTCAAATATTTTAAAAACATTAAATAACTTATTAGATATTTTAGATTTGTGAAGACTTAAGAGGACCTTGTAAATATAAATAATATATTATAAATTATATTATCGTACCAACTCAAATTGATCTAATAGTCTTGTAGGTAGACTGAATGAAGGCTTGTTCCAGTTGCGACTAGATGAGAAATTAATGATACAGTCTCTGTAAAGGCCCGGAACTTTAAAAGAAATGAATTTATAATTTAAATGCAGAAGCGAATAGTAGAATTAAGGTTTATATTCCTTACACAATAATTTAGAATGCCCAATAGAGAGCTATGAGAATATCTCTTCTAAAAGATAAACGTTAATTAAAGAAAAGCGAATAAATAAATATCCTAGGACAACCTTCACTAGTCCTTGAATGGAGTCTGGAATGTGAAGTACTCACAACTCTCTTGCTGATCGAGATCTGGATTTGGATCTTGATCTTCGTGATCTGAAATGATTAATGAAAGGGAACAACACTAACCCAGTAAGAATATCACAATAATCACAAATACGGAAAATTAAATATTGGCAAAAATTAGAAAAATAACTAATAGAGCCCTTAAAATGATGTAAAGAAAGTCGTTTTTTCTGTACTTACATAACGAGTTTTTCCAAAAACAACTTATGAAGACCCATACTCATACCACTTTTTATTTTCATGCATAAAATAATAAAAGACAATAACATTCTTTTCTTACTTGCTTATTAGTGCCCCTGGGGGTCCATAGGGATGTCCCCCTACTAGTAAATCTAATATCCAATTTAAACAATTAACCAATCATCCCCATACCCCATCTGGTAATGGGTGCCAAACATTCCATCTT